CCTATAAGAGCTTCCCTGCTCTGTACTCCCTAGGTCAGGCTCTACTGCAGCACTGCATTAGCTCCCCTGCTGTGCTAAGGTATTTTTTCCTCCTTCACCCCATGCCTGACTTGCAACATTACAGAAGCCTCACAGCTTTCCCCTTCCCTCCCTATGCTTTTCTCCACAGCACAGACCTGACCTACAGTGTTATATTTGCCTCCCCACCTTACAGCCTGGAAGGCTCCATACCCAATCTTGGGTCTGTGTTGCAATATTAGACAAATGTCCCCTTCTGTGCTATGCCCTCGATCAGCAATGCAGAATTACAAGGCTTCCCCACCTCCCTGTCATGACATGCTGTGTAGCTTAGATGGCAGAAGCTCACAGGCAGGGAGAATAACGCGGGGGAAATATGCCTGGGGCTTGAGGGGGATGAGAGGAGAATCAAGGGGGAGTAAGATGTGACAATTGTAATTTAGAGGTACTACTTAAAAACAACCAGAAATCCATCAGTGACCCAGGAAAATGGTGCCGGAGCTCAGCGCTTGGCCTGGTCTGCATGGATACTGTACTACGCACAGTAGTGAGATAATTTCGTCCAAATGTGCAGAACAGATCACGCGATGGGCTCAAGCAGAAACGCAGTCGGTAAAGTGACGTCCAAAACTCCCCTCTAGACTAAACGAACAGCAGGACTTTACTGCCCAAACTCCTCCAGCAGCTGGCACACAACTCATCTCCAGTCAGGGCAGGGGGGGGGGGAATCCATGCTGCACTGCAACCTTTGTTCACATTTACCCGCCTCGACAATGACTGGATTTGAGCAGAACTGGAGGGAGAAAGGGTTAGATTTTTCATCCCAACTGGCAGACAACAGCAGATTTCATTTCAACCGGTTGCCTCTTACACAGGCTACGCACATTGTGTGCCTGTTTACAAACACACAATGTATATACAGTACATATATAAACCACCTGCGTGCCACATGCGAGGAGAGAGATTTAAAAAGAAAAATGTCTCTCTCCCCAGATACTGTAGGCTCCCCCGGCCTCTCATTTTATTCTGCTTTATCTATCAAAAATATATTAACCCAAAAGCCTGTTTCCATCAAAGTCTCGATTCCACGAACATTTAAAGATAAGCCTTATCTTATTACTGGTGCATTAACAACAGAAATCTAAAGGGCTACTGCCAATCATCTGCTTTTCTCTCCCCCCCCCCCCTTTCTTCTCAGAAGCTGCTTTGCAGACAGCTTGGCTGGGACCTCACAGGAATTCAGGCAGCGCCAGACACACACACGCAAAGAAACCCTAAAGGCACAAAATACATGGTGGCAACCTCATGGGGATTCTGGCAGGGCCTGGCACACATCCCCATAATTCCCCCAAAGGCACCGAGAAGCTAAGAGAGCTTACAGGGATTCAGGCAGTGCCAGGCAGGCCCCAAAGAGGCAGAGAGCACCTGGCTGGAACCCCAGAGGGATACAGGCAGACTGGACACATTCTCCTACAAGCACAGAAAGTGCAGCTGGGACCTCACAGGAATTCACATATACACACACCCTACTTCTATAGGGTATGGCCTTTTAACAGATGATCTCAAAGCACATTTCAAAAGGGAAGGATGAGGAGACAGCCACAGGGAGAGAAAGTTCATGCAGTTGATCAGGGGCTGAGAGTGAGGAATATAACCCTAGTCTGCTTTCATAGCATCTATTTTCTATTATTACCTTTTCCTCACTGCCCATATTTCTTCTTTTCCCCTGTATCTAAACCCCTTCCATGTCTTCTGTTTAAACAGTAAGAGTATTTTTTTTATTAGAATGGTTGTCTAAAGTTGTTCACCATCCACGTGTTTGGCAGGGATGTTTGGTTGAGTTTTTAAAAATTAAAATATTCTAGATATTGTAAGGAAAGTCCTTGCTGTAATGCAGGTGTCTTAAGAGGCAGAGCTAAGATTGTGATGGGAATCCTTAAATCTGAATTCTCTGCTTTGTTCACAATTAAATTATCCACCTTAACTTTGCAGCAATGTGGCTTTTGCTGTTTAATTAGAAGTTTTAATTCTGCAAGGAGTGTCACTGGGAACCCAAGCCAAAAATAACACAGACAGTTCCAAAGGCCCTTTGAAAAGGTTTTATATAAAAACCAGAGCAAACAGCTGATCCAAGAGTGATAAATCTAGGGCTTCTGAAAAGAGTCTAGTGCACCCAGAGTGCAAGGAGTCAAGGCTATGGATGAACAAAAGGCATGATGCAGCCCATATCAAAACAAAACAAACAAACAGTGTCTCCGGGACAGGGCTGGACTCTGCACATAGAAGTTTCTGCTGGACACATTACTGGATACCTCTGCTAATGTATTGTGAAATGGTCACCATCAGGGAACGCAAGGCCCAGAAACTGACCTCTTTAGTACTTGCTCTAATCTCAGTGTCTCCTGAGTTAGGTTGTTTGCCACCTATCTGGATAGCTCCAGGATTGCAGAAGCTTTGAAGTGCCTGTTTAATTTGGGCCAGCATACGTCATCCTGTAACACAGAGGTGGGCAAACTACGGCTCGCGGGACCATCCTGCCCGGCACGTGAGCTCCTGGCCAGGGAGGCTAGCCCCTGGCCCCTCCCCTGCCGTTTCCTCTCCCCCGCAGCCATGCTGCCGCGCGGGCAGTGCTCTGGACGGCGGGGTTGTGCGCTCCTGCTGAGCAGCATGGCAGCGTGTCTGGCTCCGGCCGGACGGCGCGGCTGCCAGACATGCTGCTCTGAGAGGCATGGTAAGGGGGCCGGGGGGTTGGATAAGGGGCAGGGGGTCCTGGGGGGCAGTCAGGGGATGGGGGGGTTGGATAAGTGTGGGAGTCCCGGGGTGTGTGGATAGAGGTCAGGGGATGGGGAGCAGGGGGGTTTGGATAGGCGTGGGGTCAGAGCAGTCAGGGGACTGGGAGCAGGGGGTTTGGATGGGGGTGGGGTCCTGGGGGCAGTTGGGGCGGGGAGTCCTGGAAGGGTGCAGTTAGGGGACAAGAAGTGTGTGTGGGGGGGTTGGATGGGTCTGGGGTTCTGAGGGGGGCAGTCGGGGCAGGAAGTGGGAGGGGTCGGATGGGGGCGGGGGCCAGGCTGTTTGGGGAGGCACAGCCTTCCCTGCCCAGCCCTCCATACAGTTTTGCAGCCCCAATGTGGCCCTCGGGCCAAAAAGTTTGCCCACCTCTGCTGTAACAAGACTGGGCATTGTGGCATTATGATGCAGCAAACACTACACGGAGATGAAACAAGGCAATCTTCACAACGGCGGCCATCATGTGGCCAACCAGACTTACCAACATTATATATCTGCTTTATTTTCAAGGAGGTAGGAAAGAGGTCACATAGGCTTCACGCTTGTCTCTTTCCTGCCCAGCATACCACTGCAAACGTCAGGGATGGTTCAGGAGTTTTGGATCAAGCCCAAACTAAAAAGAAACCTTCCAACCTCCAACATCTTTTGGAGACACTGCTACACCTCACTCAGCATCTCTGATTGCTTGTTCTTCCCTGATTTCCTGAGATGCTCTGGTCTTCAAGCCATAATCTTAATGTAAGAGGGCAAGTCACAGAGATGCTAGAACTAGAACAGACATAATACACTAGGCCATCTTGTCTTTCCGCACCTCTGGCCAGTGGAACCTTGTTCCCCATTGTGCATATTTAAATACTTAGGGCAGTCTGATCATAACCAGCGCTTCCACCTTCTCGCTCTTCCACAGTCTGAGAACACGTTGGTTGGAACCCATTCCTGAGTCAGTGAAAGGCAGAGCAACCACAGCCTATGTCCGACTGAATTTTTACAGATGATGAAAAGGGCATCTATCCACACATGCCTTAAAAAAAATCCAACAACATTAATCCCCGAAACAGGACTAAACTGCAGCCACACAAATCAGCATAACCCACTACCAGCAAACAAGACAACCCAAAGTTCAAACCCTGTCCCCCCCCCCG